TAGATAACCTGATGAAATTTTTATGTCACGAGATTGAAAGAGAAGAGAAAGTACATCTAGCAGGTACCAGATTTAACTGTGAAACCGAAATCAAAAGCAAAACTATTTCACCCACGTCAGCACGATGGGAAAGATTTACTCTGACAGCTGCAGAGTTATGTAATTCTTCGGAAATTAAAAAAAAAACTTGTGTATTTTGTAACAAGGCACATTCAAGTAGCCAGTGTAGGTATGCAGATAATTTGCCTTATAGAGAAAAGGCAGATATTATTAAAAAAGAACGCATGTTTTAGATGCTTAGCAGTAAGAAAACATATTTCTCAATTTTGTAAAATGAAAGTACCACCCTGTGAGATTTGCGGTAAGGATCATTTTAAATTAATGTGCACTGAAAAAAGTAATCCCAAAAATTTGAACCGATCGCTTAAGGTTGAGTGGAAACAAACCAAAAGGAAGAACTCTGCTGTATTCAACAAAACAGCTACTAGTAAAATTCTCTTGCAAACACTTATTTTTTGTCTTAGGAATAAGAATAAAACGAAATAATACATAAGGGGTACTAATTGACTCAGGCAGCAATAAATCTTACTTATCAAATTTCGTAATAACAGAAATGGGATATGAGTGGATTTATTTGGCAGTATATAGAAACGAGATATTTGATTTGTCTTAGTAACTTTTCCGAAATTATCGATGTAATTTCAAGGTGTTAAATCAACAACAAATTCGTTCCGTAATTCCAAAAATACCACATGGGAAATTTATCAGTGAAATTAAGAAATACAAAATTTTCCTGTCTGATTTGAATAATGAAAATCTGTTGTTTCAATTCTCTCCTGACAAGATTCATGGAGTTGTGGGGGCTGATGTCGCAGGTAAACTGTAAACTGGAAACATAAAACAATTAGACTCAGGTCTAGTTTTGATGGAAATGCAGCTTGGATGGACACTAATGGGTAAGGCTAAGATGATCAAAACTTCAGATAGCACAAATAGCGTTATGTTGCTACATGTAAACGAGGCAAAAATTTCAGACTTATGGTGACTTGATACACTTAGAATTTTGAACCCTGGAGAGAAGGGAAGTCGACAAGAGCTTGAGATGGCAATTGAAGAACCCAATGATCCAGGTAAGTGCTGTTTTACTTACCTCCTATTTGAATGCTTTCAGCATATATTAATATTGACTTGGGAAACAATATTAAGATTTGCATTGGTTCTTACTTTTTTAGAGGGGTATTATCTCATTTTTCCATTTTAAAAGAAGATAAAAGATTTGTACCCGGCAGCCCCACCTACCACCAATTAGGGGATGCAGATTCCTGTGGCAGGGTTAACAGGGTCTATACGCAAACTGGAGCCCCACAGTCAGTTTTCCCAAAAGTAGGAACTTCCGAAAGCATATCTCCAAGACACTGACCCAAAGTACAAGTGACCAACCGATTGACGCTAGTGGGGGACAGCTAAATGCCTCCCATTTCAATCTGAGGCAGAGGGCAAAGCAGTGTATTGGGGATAGTAACTCGCCCCTCAACTACCAGGATCTTCCTTTACAGCCTTATGGGTCACAACGCACGGCAAACACGTAGGTGGCTTCCTCTCCATGAGAAACTAAAAACAAAGGAAAGTCATAGCTTCTCATTTTGAGCCCCAACCTCCGAAAAGGAAAAACACAATAGTAGGAGAAATGAAAATAGCAAAGACAAAGTGAGATGAGAAGGGAAAAAAAAAAAAAAAAACATTAGGGGTCCAGGATCGTGACCCCTGTCTCACCAAGAGGGTGATATTTTGAAGGGCTAGGGTACCTTGGGATTGCTAAACCCATACTCACAAAACATGAGCCCCTGATGGGTGAAAGCATTGTGAGGAGCTAGATTAGAAAACTAATATCATTAACTAAAGAAGAAAATTACTGTTAATGTGAAAAAGTTCAAATAACCCCAATTCGCTAAATAAAGAAGCTTTATAGATACTTTTCGTAGTCAAAATGTAAATAAGTGTCCTACTGTGATTTTAAATCAAGCTTTTCTTTACCTCTCCTTTCCAAAATATGATTCAAGTTCCCTGATGATAAATTTCAATGCTTTTTCAGTTTGACCAATATGCTAAATTACACAAGAATTAAAAACAGAGATGGTATCTTTAACAATTAACAATAAACGTTACTGATAGGTGAAAAAAATTAATTAAAGATTGAACTTTTGGAGAATTTATGCAATTCCGTAATTGACAAATTAAATAGGTGTTGGATACACATAGAAAAATTTTACTAAAATATTTTTGCATGTTTTTGTGTAAATGTATCAGTTGTCAGCTACATGTGTTGTCTACTAAATATGTGTTGTCTAAATATGTGTCAACATGTGTTGTCTACTAAATATGTGAGTCAAACCAACTGTTGGCTAAATGTTGAGGACTAAATGTCCATGCTGGCTTAATGTCCTGTCGGCTAAATGCCCTAGTCAGCTAAATATCCATGTCGGCTAAACATCAGTCTGTGTTGATTTAATGATGTTGTTTCCAAGTTACAGGGTGAGAATGCTATCAACTTTCCTGCTGCAGTTACTTCAGACACTGAAGCAGAACTAAGTTAGGTCTTACACTCTCTAACCAAACAGGAAGTTGACTTTTAAAAAATTTAATTCAATTTCTTATTTTACTTTATTTTTAAAGCTTGTATATTACACAACCAAAATTAAGTATAAATAAAACTTTAATTTTAAATGGAACTTATGTAGCACTTCTTTTCAGTGCGTAAGTATTGAAAATGCCATCTTAAGATTATTTATGCCTTCCTCTGATTGACTGTTTTTGCTTTTTCCATCTGTGTAATTAAAAATTTCCTACCACTAAATCTAACAAGATGACTTCTACTTTACAAAAGAAAAATATGTGTAATTATTTTACTTCTGGATATCAATCAGATAATATACCGGATTTCATGTTTCAACTAGAATAATTAGAAAACAGCTTTTATTCAACATTAAATTAAGAAACATTAAATTTTCTTTTTTCTTTTTTTTTTTTTTTAAATTCCCCAATTTCATAGCACCCTTTCATGCTTCACCTTATGGAACTTTAGCAAGTATTAACTGTAATTTAGTTTATCTTTCTCTAGGACTAATTTTCAGCTACTACTTAACAGTAACAACAATAAAATTCATTTGAGTGATAACACAAATAAAAACTAACTTGTATATTTTAACAGAAAAGACAGAAATCACCCAGAGGAAATTGCATATGACATGAACTACAAACAAACACTGGGAAAAAAATGTTTTCAAACTTAGTCAATTTATTACTTTTCCTGATGTAAAATTTTTAAAACTACATGAAATTAAAATTTTTGCAAATTATTTGCGCCATCTTTTTAAATTAAAATATTTATTATATATGTAATACAGTCAAATACCAAAAATCCGCCGAGCTGAAATCCGCCAACTCCTGAAATCCGCGTTGCCTCTCAAAATATACATATTTTTATAGGTTCCGGAATCTGCAACATTGAGTACGAAATATTGAAGAAAAAAATACTTACCGAATAATGACATCCTAATTACCAAATAATAATGAATCATAACGGAAATAACAAATTATTGACATCATGATAAAAGTTTCTTCCTCTCTAATCTGCATCAAGGTAAAAAAGCCGACGATTCACTCAACTCTTCTTTCAAGTTCACGATTCATGTTGTATTTTCTGAGCTTTGTTATTTCATGAGATTACTTGGTGCTCCCTTCTTTTTTTATACAGATATTTTGTGGATAAATTAAGAATATTTTAAATTTCAGCCCTTTTTAATACAATTACAGTTAAGAAACGCACTCATGATTTTACTTCTTGCAACGTAGAAAAACGTAATCGTTGCATTGATCGTAATGCAAAAAGTGCAAATTCTGCAAAAGAATGGAAGCAGGTTCTACTCCTCGGTTTATAGCAGAATTGTACGGAATTGCGATACGATTGTGTATGATATACGGAAAAATAAAGAAAAGCTGTTGAAATTTTACAGCAACAGTGATTCTAACACTGGAATCCGAAACCGGAAATCTTTGCATGAGGTGAGAAATCAGGCAAACCTCGAATGCTGTGTGCATATAATAATACAATGAATAACATAATCAATTTATATATATGTAATAATAATTTAATGCATATAATAAGTTATTGCAATAATGTATAAAATAATTTAATTAAATGTATCTAATATGTCTTATTTATTTTGCACTTTTAGTCTGAATATTATGATTTATCTTTTCTGTCCTGAAATCCACAAAATCCTAAAATCCGCACAACCTCTGGTCCCAAGCTCTGCAGATTTCTGGACTTCTACTGTATTTATTTTATAAGAGACAGTTTTAAGAATTTTGATTATAAATTCAACTTTAAAAATGTAGGGAAATACATAAATTCATTAGATGTATGAAAATATTCCAAGTGTAATAGAGAAATGCAGGAAAAAACACAGCCAGAAAAATTCCTCTCACAGATGAAATATACTAAAAATTAATGTTAGCCAAGTCTTAAAAAAAATCAAAATATTCAGTAAGCAAATCTTTTATCAAATGAAATTGAAACAATTTTCTTTCTGCATTTTTTCTATGTCTAATTATTATTCTTTTTTGATTCAGCAGTGTCGGCAAAGTGATAAGTACATTATAAACTGTGATTTATGACCATTATTAGTGCTATGGTAATATAAAAGCTACATACTTGAATTTTTTTCACATTGTTTTAACAATGACTGTAATAAAACATTACAAGTATAAATAAATAACTTTACACATAATAAATCATATAATTAGTAAAATATTTCAAAAATGTTAATTACTATATAATTTATTCTGTGCAAAATTTTAATGTAAACCCATAAACTATTAAAAATGTAAGAAAGTACAAATCACATCAGATGAAAAAAGTTTTGTTTTCGATACTCACAGTCAGAAATTAAGAAGAATTTATTCTGTAAAAACAACAAATGAAAACCCCTATAACATACCTCTGATGAAAGATGCAAAATTTCAACATTTTTACTCTTCTTGGCATAAATTTGGCACTGAAGTTGCTCTAGTAAATCAGCTATATGACTTTCAGCAAAATGAAAACCTTTGAACAGAAAGTGAAATAGAAAATTTACTCATATATTTAGACATGTACATGAAATAAAAATCCTTTTTACTTTTATCACAATAAATACTGAAAGAAAGGTCAGAAGACAAATAATGGTAATAAAAGCAAATTATCTTCTCTTTTCTGAAAAAATTTCCTTACTTTCCGGAAAGTTCAAAGTTGCTCAGTATACTGCGCATCTCTGAAATTTGATAACAAACTGACAAACATTTCTGAAACTTGAAATTTAACTGCAAAATTCAATAATAGCAGGGAAAGGGAGAATTTGCATTCTTCAAAATAATCTGCTGTAACATGTACAACATTACTCATTCAAGCTTATCACCACATTTCTCAGTAATAACATTCTGAATGTTTTTCCACTATACCTGAAATATGACAACATTATTTATATAATTAGGTCAGGCTTGGCCACATACTCTGAAAATGTAAAATTTTCACCCTCATACACTCTCTTTATCCACATATTACAAAAGAAATTATTTAAGGTATACTGAAAGCCTTATAATATACATATGATAAGCACTATATTCACTCCATTCATTTTTGAAAAAGCATGTTTTTATTTTTGCAAATAAGTAAAACATGCATCGGTTAGCTTTTAATCTTTGTACTACTATGCCCCCTTGCCCCGAATTTGCGATAGTCAGAAAGGTCTTGAATTTTTGCAAAAGTTAAGCTTTTCTTAGCAGAAAGCCATCCACAGCAATTCCCTCCTCCCCCCAAAAATCTAACTAAAGCATGTCTGAGGAATCAAGGTAACTGGCACAAAATTTAAGGAGACAGATAGTGTTACTGTCATTTATTTTTGTAAAATTAAGGAGACTGAATCTTAGCATAGCAGAATTCAGTTTGGGACTACTGAGAATTTATTTCACATTTAAACATAAAACAACTAAAAAAATAACATAAACTAACATAAACAACTAAAAAATTGAATAAAAATTTTATTTTTTAATACATAGTTAACTTTCTCCTAACCTCATACTGTTCTATAATATTATATCATCATCATATATTGAATGTTTAATATTTTGTTACAGATTGGAACCTTATATCTAATCTCTGAAAATGATTTTAACAATTTTTGATGCATATTTGAATAGTCTACAAATTCACACCATTATAATAATAGTAAGAGTTCATTTAATTGTAAAGAGCTTAGTTAAGAGGTTATGATATATATAAAAGAATAAATTTATTAAAGAATCATCAAACATGATCAAGAAATAATTAAAATAGTAAGAAAAACAAATGTTATAATTATGCCATGAGAATAATAAAATGAAAACTGCGGAAGCTAATTTATAAGCCAGCATAAAAACTTAAACTAACCGTGGCCTTTTTGAGCTTTGGCAGTCCTCTGAAATCTGGAGAAATGCTCCTTTAATAAATTTAAACTGTCCTGGTTTATTTTATCTTGCAATGATGTATCTCCAAACCTAAGACATATACATACATAAAAATCTTGCAACTTAATGAACTTGACATTTCGTTATCACATAATGAGATACATATATTTAATTAGTATACTGATAACTATAAAATTATAATGACTGCAACGGAAATGTGTGCATATAAAAGTATTCTTTACGAAATTCATCTATGCATGAAATATTTGCAGGAAGTTAATAATTTCACATAATTTATCAAAAAAGCAGATTATATTTCTGAAAGACATTAGAAATGAACATGATTTTATTACATTAATGTCCATTAATACTACTAGACAAGCCTCGAGCACATAGAAAATACCATTGCATGTACTACCTTTCTTCACTGTCAGTGAATTATTAAATCATTGGTGTTTTATACATTTTGCATAGCAATAAAAAATTTTGAACTAATGCAACTGCACTTCTCATAAGTAGACTGACTAACGTCATCATTTTCTATAGAAAATTCACTGCAATTTTCAACAACTACAAAAGACATCAACATGAAATTATCTCAATCCCTGTGACATTTGATTAGCATATAAGAAATTTAAATTAAATACATACTTAGTAAAGTAATACAAATGTGGTTCATGCTTCAAAAAATGCACTTTTTCAACTCACTGAATTGTTTTAATTATGGTAATTACGGAAAGATAATTACGCTTCAACTTGAGAAAAAATTATGTTTTTATTTTAAAAAATTCCCACATCAATAAAAAAAAAAAAAAAAAAAAAAAAAAGAAAAGAAAAGAAAAAAGAACTTGCATTGTGACCAAAAAAGTTTAACTAGTTTGTGAAAAAAAGGTCTCTAAATTTACTGACAAATCAGTAAAAAAGGCTGTAAAAATAAAAGCACAAAATATTGCTACAGAAGTTTATGGAATATAAAATGAGTGACAAAACCAATTCAGAACTAATAAGTATTATTCTTAGTGAGGAAATCAATAGATACCCACACTTTTAAACCAATTTTGTTTAGAATATAATAAGAATTCTTATCTCAGATAAATAACACATTAGCACATATTAAACAATGCATTAGCACAGACAATAGGATTCATAAGCATTTCAATACTTACACTTTTTTCTGCAAATAATAAGCTTTACTGTTGTATTTTAATATTTATTTATGTTACACAGTGCATGAAATTTTAATAACATGTTAATGTATTACATTGCTTTAACATACTTAATTAAAAGGGATAATTAATTAAATAACTGTTATAATTTGTGCTTTATTACACAAATGCAATAAAGCACAAATACTCTATACCAACATTTTTATAACTCTTCTATTAAATGAAAATGCAGACTATATTGTATACATCAACTTCAACAAGTGGTAAAATTCAATGTTGCGATTGTGTTGATTTCAACATAAGAAAAGACAAGGTCCAACATTAAAAAGGTGTATTTCACAAACAAATTTCTCAACAATTTCTATCTAAATCTGCATGATAATATATCACAGATTTGTTTTTGTTAGAACCATTATTAAATATTAAAATTATAAACAATAAAACTTAAAACATACTTTTCTGCTAAAGTGGCTTGTTCATTTATACCAATATTAAAAAAGACTGAACTAACAGTAAAACGACAACCATTAGAACAATCAGCAGGCAATAAACTTATAACAGATGGAGGAGCAGGAATGAAGACACACAGAAATAACCTGCAAAGTAAAAAGTAGTATTTTAAATACAAAACTTAGGTTTAAAATGAAAGGGGATTACTACTTTGATGTATGTAAGACAATTAAAAAAAAAAAAAAATTAGATTTCATTTCCTTAAATACTGATCAAAGACATGCAGATTCTGTTAATTTTCTGAAAGCAATCTTCCAACACTATCGGTGAACTAAGTTTTGAAAAAAGAAATTTAATTTTTATATGATCCTCAAAGAATCAAAATGTGAAACTAAACTGTGGAAAGAGAGATTTTTAAAAACAAAAAAGTACTTTTATATGATCCTCAAGGAGTAAAAGTTATTAATTACATTATTATTACGCTTTAACTTTTTCATATACACTAAGGTTTGCGATATGCAAGTTTACTTTGCAAAAGAAGCTTTAATGGCTGAACTTCACTTCCTTAAAAGCAAGTTTAAAGGTTACAACGTATGAATATGAAAAATTCGCAAGATATTAATTTGCATATGTGATCCATTGTGTGTTTAGAAGTGTCCTTTCCCTATAATAAGTCCATACAAATTTTTAATTTAGTATTCAAAGTGATGCAACAGAACACAGGTATTCCAGTGAGATAAATATCATTTGATGAAAAATTCATTGTTATATTATCAATTATACAAATGATATTACTGAAACTAACAGCAGCAGTCTGATTCAATGAAATGCTAATAAACATGAAAAACTGATCTAAACTATGACTATTAAACTTTGCAGTATTAAATTTGCATTATTAAAACTATTATTAAGTAGTATGCATCAGACAGAAATTTTCACTTTTTAGAGAATTTATATATTCATGACATATGAATAATGGCAAATTAATATAAAGTTAAAGACTGTCAACTTTAATTCCATTTTATGTCAGAAAGTACTTTTTAAACATACCAATTGTAATTATGTTTTTTATAAAGGGATTAATTAGTAGACTATAGAAGTACCATATATGGCATACATCTGTGACATAGAAAATTCAGAGGTATTTGCTGTAAACATTTTGCACAAAATAAAGGAGGTCAACTACAAATTTAATAATACAACTAATCTCTTTGTAGAGTTTGTTTTAATTGGAAGCAGAAAAGATGAAGATCCTTCGCCGGGAATCGAACCACGGACCTCTGAAATACCAGCTCAGTGTGCAAAACCCCTACACCATGAAGGCACGCTAGGGAAGTGGTAGAAATACCTTATATACTCCCCTTTTTAATGGGCGACTAGGGTTTTAGGGGACCTAGTTGCCAAATCCTGGGTGCGGAGAATCATCATCCACAACTCTTTTAGTTCGGGCGCCACTTGTAGAGTCATTAGGATTTCTTTAGAGGCAGAAAAGATGAAAAATAGCAAATGCCTTTGCAGGGAATAGGACCATGGACCTCTGGAATACCGGTCCAGCGTGCAAAACCCCTACACCACGAAGGCACGCTAGGGAAGTGGGAGAAATACCTTATATTTTTAACGATACAAAACTATTAATCACCAAAATGAACAGATTTTACTTTGTTGTTAATATCTAATGCAGACAAAAGTCTTTAATCCAGACTCGTCGGGACATTGGTGATTCCGGACTATAGATCATCAGTTTAAATCTGGTAAGATGGCATGCAGAAATTATAAAATTAAAAATATGAAACCGTAATTTATGAAATAAAGAGCAATTATGATCTAAAGGGTATCAAAATTTCCAAAAAAAAGCTTAATATTTATTTGTTTACTTTATTAAACATTTCTTTCAACGCGCGCATGCGTAAAGCGTACATTACACATAGTCGAAATTGGAAAATTGCAACCAGAAAATTATTTGATTTGTATTCGTGATATTTATAATGATGAGGAATTTGATTTAAATCATATCAAAGATGAAATACCACATTTAGTAAGGAATTATAAGCCGAATAAAATAAAAAACATCTGCCCTGAAGATAAGGATAGTGCTGACAGATCAACTTCCAGTTCATTGCGCTCCGCGACACCCCCCTTCCCCGCGCAGAACAGCGTGAAATTGATAAACAGATTTCAGAATGGTTAGAGAAACAAAGGAGCCTTTATACATTTTTTGCAGCAATTCCATTTTTTGTTTGATGGACATATAAAATTGCTCTAACAGTCTGCAAAAAATAATAAGCTGGATCCACTTCGAAGATTAAGGTACAACGCAATCTGCAACATTAACTGAAATAGATAATTAGATAATTTTAGCTTAGTTATACATTAAACGCGCATGCGTAAACGTATTATGCGCATGCATACACGCATATGTGCCTGCGTAAAGGTATTACGCGCATGCGTCAATGCATATATGCGTTGACGCGTATATGCGTTGATGCGTATATGCGTTGACGCGTGCACAGAAAATTTGTAGCTTTGAGGTCTGGATTATAGATCATTGCGAATTATGGGTGTCCGGATTAACGACCTTTGACTGTATGTTTTTTACCTTTTCTATCCCAGAAGTCTTAAAATTAAGTCACTAATAAGCATGCAAAAATAAGTCAAGTTAAAAAATTTAATTCTCAAATACATCTTCACAAACTCCTTGTTAATTTCATCAAAAGTCTACTGAATTTTTCTCTTTAGTTCAAGAACTATTTGTAGTTTGTTAACTTAAATATTCGACTTGACATATCCCCATGAAAATACATTGCAAGATGTTAAATCACAAGACCTCACATGCCAGTTCTGGTCACTGCCACAAAGTCACATCATACACCCGGGAATTTTTTATGAAACAATGTTTTGTTGACTCATGGAATGTGCAGCAGATAACCCTTGTTGAAAACACTTCGCATTTCATCCATGCGGACAAGGAGACTGCAAAAATGTATGAACATTCTATGTCTGTAATGAGTTTTCTTGGTTTTTTGATTAAATAATACAAAATTATTTAATCAGGATTTAATGAATTACAATGTACTTCCGTGTATGAGGTGAGAAGTTTTAGCCAATTTTTTTACTACTGAAGTTAGGGGACTGGTTTACATCCAACTTTAAAATGCTTAAGAAATCATTCAATCACTAAAATGATATTATAAGTACCTGAAAAAACACTATTCTTTTTATTTGATCCTAATACACATTAAACAGATTTCTTATATCGGTATCTGACTTCGATTTTTCTAGAATTGTCATAAGTTTCTTTCTGGTAGAGCCAAGTCTGGGTAAATATCATCATCCTCTATTTCAGCATTAATATTATTATCATCTGTTTTGTAGATAACATTTTTACTTCCATCCATAGCATTGCTCAATATAAGTGATAACTTTCAGTTTAAAACTTGGAGAAAAGATAATCTCTTTTTTGTACGTGCAGCTTACTTTGACTAAAAGAAGAAATGAAGTACTTTACTTTCCTCCTAAAAGCCAGAGCACAACTGAAGGGACCAATTTTGCAAATGCTTGAGAAAGGTTACCACAAATGAAAAACCGAATTATCGGCCAAGTGCCAAATAATGTGCATGCCTAAAAGTTAGGCATATTGAGGAGAAAAAAAAACTGTTGGGGCCAAAAATTCCCTCTTATTCTACAATGCTTTCATCTCTATTTTTCGAACAGAAGCTAAAGATGAATTGGCATTCACGTTCTGCTCATTTGATAGGTCTTGCTAAGCTAAATAATTAATTTTCCACATATTTCGCAATGTATACAGCTGGATTTACAGGCTGATTTTAAATTTGTCTTATACATGGGTTTTCAGTTTAGACAATTTTTGCAGCAAAACCTTACTTCTTGGCTGTACACAGATCCACTTCCATTCAGAAACATACAATATACTTTTTTAATGCTGGTATATACAAAGAAAATAATGCCAGTGCAAGAGAAAAATGTAGTGAGGAGAAAAAGGAATAAAAGATGGCGAGTTTTTTAATTTTTTTTAAAGGGAATTAAGAAGGTTTTTTTTCCTATAAAACTGCATCAAAGTACTTAAAAAAAAAATTCAAATCCATCATTGCAATACCTTTCAAAGTAATTTTCTCCTTCTTAAATGAAAACAAAGCTAAATAAATAAATACATTCTTTACAAAATCCTCAGAAATGTGATTTTCCCTAAATTGAATCCTACTGCTGTTTTTATTGTTGTCTTATGCATTTATTGCATGAAAGAATGGTTGCCAGAGCCTCAAGGAGGTTGGACTTCTACTTCCACCCCAGTTTTGAGAGAGAGCACCCCAGGGTTTGGTCCAAGGGTATCCCACCCTTCTCCCTTTCCACTAAACCACACAAGAGGACTTTCGGCTAGCCATATATTTAGATTGCCCCCATTCCGCAAAGACACTATACATTTACAAAAACCCAGGCCTTCTCTGGGATTCGAGCCTGGGCCCTTCAGTACCGCAGTAGGTTCCCCTAACCCCTATACCATCTGAACGACATTCCCACTGCTAATTCTACTTTTATATTAAACGCATATACAGTTGGATTAATACTAATACTACTAAGAGCATACTAAGTGTACCAAATTACAATTTTGAATTTATTAAGAGAAAATTTTTCTGTTTTCCAAACATTTTTCTTTACAATGTTTTCCATTTCAGAAAAGTCTCTATAAGGGCTCCTTTTAAGAATCTATCCCTATCAGATAAAGATTTTTATTGAGCTTTCTTACTGCACAAAATAGGAACCAACCAGCTATTAGGTGCATTTAAATTGGAAGTCAAAGTCTGAAAAGTTGTGGATAAGTAAATCCTTTATACATATTAACCATACAAAGTAAAAGTTATTTTTAAAACCTCAGAATATACACACAGAAGTATTAACTTGTAAAAAATTACGAATCAGTAGATTTATGATACATGTTTACTACAAAAAGAAGTTAGTTTAGGTTATTTGAATATGGCAAAGCACACAACAGGTATCTGCTTTCGAGGAGAACTTTCAAAAGGAAATTGGTATGTATTCACATTTCACTTGGGAAAAACGATGAAAACCAAACATGTTCCAATTTGTTCACCTAGGACTGAACTCAAGATGAACTCCCAGTTTGGTCTTAATCACTCTGCCATTGGTAGGCTACTACTAAAAGAGAATACTGAGGTGTGACGTTAAAATGCTAAAAGACTTCAGTAAAAAAAATAAAATCACTTTGTCAATAAAGCATGTTAAAGTGTAGTGTAAAATGTTTATTTGTATTCTTATACAAGAAAAAAAAATATTTCCATAAAATTTACCATGCTAAGTTCTCTAAAAATTGAAAATCTGTTTGTTTACATCCCAAAATGGGAATGGATTACAAGTATTCTTGGATTATCGGACTTCTGCCACATAAAACAAATATATGCAAGAAGGAACAGTACACACTTTTAAAAATAAGTGAGAAAATAGGGTTGAAACTGCAGACAACATTCACATTATTTGAATTTCTCTTCTGCAGTATGCGCCGCTATCTTGATGGCATTATGTAAATTTCTCGAATCGAAACTTACTGCCATTAGCAAGATTTTCTAATAGCACAATAAATTCTTTAACATTATTTGATTTTAAAACAAAATTCATTCCTGAAAAATACTTTTAAAGAAAAAAAAATAAATAAATAAAGCATTAACAAAATTTCACATAAAATGCTAGTTTTCACTTATTTTGATCCAATGTTTTCGTAGGTGATTATACAAATGTTCAAATATACAGCGCTAGTATTGGGTACAAAGTGTGAACAATGATTTATGAAAATTTAATTTTTATTCATAATACATGCTTGTGATATATAAAAAATGCAAAAGAGGAATATAAGGAAGACTTAATTTTGTAGACAATGCTTGAAAAAGAATTTTATGACAATTAATAGAAAAGCATTTTTTCATTTAAATTTTTAGCCGGTCAGGGAAGCAATTCAATCTGGTGATTGACGAAGAACCCTTGGATAATGCGTGCCACGTGTGGTCGTGCATTATCCTGATGAAATATGGCTGTGGGCAAGCCCTGAAGGTAAGGAAGGACAACTGGCTCCAACACCTCGGAGATGTAGCGTTGGCTGTTTAAAGTACGAGCAACGCATATTGGAGGAGTGTGAGAGTGATTTCTTATACTGCCTCATACCATAATACCCAGTGCAGGACCAGTGTGGCGGTGCATAACGCAGCTGTTCAGCATCCTCTCTCCACGGTGTCTCCAGACTCGAATCCGACCATCGTGGTGTTGCAGACAGAAGCGTGACTCATCAGTAAAGACAATTTCATTCCATTCTGCTGTCCACATCCTTCTTTCATCACAACATTGGCGGCAGACGTCTGTGGTTCTGTGTCAAGGATAGATGAAGCAATGGACGTCTTGTAAACAGGCCACTCTGCTGTAAACGGCATCGAATGGTACGCACAGACACTGGACGATGCATTACAGACTGAATGTGCTGTGCTATGGTTCATGAGCGATCCGTCACTGCCATGCGAATAATGTTCCTGTCACTCGTGAAGTGGTGCACTGAGGTGGATGTGATCGAACATGTTGGTCCGTTGTACCCTCCTGCATCCAATGGTCACATATCTGCATTACAGTTATTTGGTTTCGTCCAACACAAATACCGATTTCCCTAGGCCATTAACCTTCCTCTGTTGAACTCAGATACTTGATCAAATGATAATCGCTGTTTACTAAGAGGCATAATTGATCGTTTTTTTGAAAAAAACCACAAGAAAAACACAATTGCCGAACTTGAAATCGTCGAAAACTCCAAGCCTTAAATAGCACTTTGAAGTGGCGCCACAAGCACTTCTGATGTGCGTCTGCGCTGAAATTCTAATCATTTGCATATCTCCTCTCCGCTAATGCATGTTATAAATTTCATGTTATTTGCATGCTTCCTTCAGGGTGATGCATTTACGGTGACCAGCAGAGTATTTAAGGTACATTATTAAATATTTACACCTAGTGAATTGAACTAGAAAACTGAATTTTTACAGATAAATAGATATATTATTTTTTATACCTGCATTAAAAGGTTAATTATTTTTAACTACTTACTATTAGGCAAATAGTTTTATATATCCATAGAAATTAAGCAGACAGGTTCATTAGCAAACTGAAGCGTCATTGATCACACGTATTTATAAAAAGAATGAAATATTTCAAATTCATACCTATTTCCTTCAATTCGCGGCTGTGGATTACAAGATGCATCAGATGGCTCTAACCAAAACAATACTCTACGAAGATCATCGATTCCAACAACCATATCTTCCAGTGCTCCCATTTCATCACCATAACAGCTAAGAAGTCCTTCAAAGTGACATAAGACACCCACAGTTCTAAGCATTTGAATAAACATAGAATCTGGACTACGGCACCATAGTCTTGTCATAAGTCCTGTCACCAGACTTGTAAGCTGAGAAGCACAGTAAAATTTAATAAAAAGATATATTTCAGAAGACATGATTCAAAATATTCCGAGCTGGAATATTTTACAACTAAACAAATACATTTAATAATTTTAAAAGTTGAATAAACTCTTCCAAGCTGAATATAATTAAGAATTGAAAAACATAACTTTTGAAATAGAATCATAAATTATATTTAAAACTATTCCTATCATGTAAGAAACAATTCATGATTCTCAAGCCAAACAAAATAACTGATTCAAATTGCGTTTTCAATGTCTCGAAAGCGTAGCTTAGGATATACATTAGATTTATATATAGCTTTGTTCTAACATAGGTATTCGGACACAAAATCTGACTTTTTTGAAATTACATGCCATTTTTTTTCCATATTTCAATTCTACGACTCAAATTATGCCTGGATATTAAATTTTGTAATTTTTGTTGAGAAATTTATGGAAAAATTTAAAAATTTACCTTGGCGAATTTTTTTTTAGTCTGCCCCAAGAATAATTCACCTGCCAAACCTCTTAATTTAGAGCAACCTATTTTCCTTTCCTTTTTTTCATTGTCCATGAGCTGAAAAAAAGTCATTGTTCATATTTTCAAATAATTTTAACAATGTGTGTAAACCACATTTCCGTTATTATCGCTTATCATAAATTCGCCAAATTTCAATATGTGCCAAAATGTAAATTCACGTATATCTTAGGAAATTTTGAATTAAAAAACTCTCATTTTCTGCAGGTATGCTTAGAAACACATCTACTTTAATATAACGGCAAAACTTTTATAGGCTATAATTCAAAATTTTTTTCGAAAATTTTATAAAAAATATTTCAAAATACAAATTTTAAAAATAAATCAGAAAAATAGGCGAATTTTATTTGAAATGAACCTAAATTTCGATAGATGAAATGAAGAATCATAAGTTTAATAAAAAAAAGGAGATATTAATGAATATATATCAAATTCAATTAACATTGAGGAGCTAAAATTCTAAGAACTAATTTTTTAAAACCTACTTTGTGATTGTTACAAAACTCAGCAGTTTTGCATAATTTGAGTCGTAGAATCGAAATATGGAAAAACTTTACCACTTCATTTCAGAAAAAGTCCGAATTTGGGTCAAAATACCTGTATTAGAACAATGCTATATATAAATCTAATACATATCCTAAGTTGCACTTTCGAGATATGAAAAATGCAAATGGAATTTCGTCCATTGACCCAATAGAACGAGAGATATAGAACTGTCCCAATTTTTTTTGGCAGTGTTCAATGAAACAAATGTTCATTTTATATATATATTTTTTAAATGGTAAAGAAAGAAAAATGATGCTAAAGAAAACTTCAAGTTAGGTTAGGTTTTTAATTCATTCTGAAATCTATCTAATTGCCTTGATAATTTACCTTGTTAGTTTCTTCCCCTGCTGCTTATGGAAGAAAGATTGAATCATTTATAATACATGATTGAAATGCTTGCTTTTAACACATAACAATATTAAGTTGCTATAATCCAATAATTATACGCAGCCAACTGGCAACATAATACCTCAAAGGGTTGAGCATATATGTCAGTTATGTACGATGAACAAAAAAAAAAAAAAAAAAAAAAAAAAACAGAAAGTAAAACAATATGTGTATTAGGTAAAACTGAATTACTTACAGCCTGAGAAAAAACAATATCTCGTCTGTGTCTCACTTTCTGGGTTAAAGGTAAGCATTTTGTTGATTCCTATGAAATACAGATCAATCAATAAAAACATACATCAATACACACACACATATGCATGCAAATATATAAATTCAACAAATACTATAACACATAAATAAGAAATACTTCTTGGCACATTTTCTTTAAAATAACAATTAGAATGTCTACCCCAAACGAAATCCTAGAAAATACAAACTTGTAGACAATTAAATTGGCCTGTTATACTTAAGCAATTAATATTTATATGGAATACACAACTAATGGAATTTATCACCAATAAAAAAATGACAAATTGCCCAATAACATTTAAAACAATAAAATGTTCTATCTTTCTTTTACATTGATTATGAAAAGCAAGAGAAAATCAGCATGAATAAATAAAAAAATAACTTAACTTTAACTTCACACTTAAACCATAAAATTCAATTCAACAGTAATATTGCAAAATAATTTTAAAATGAGAATATCTTCAGAATTTTCAATACAAAGTCTCACGCGCTGGATATAAAAATGTTTTTTTTCCTGCACTGTTTTGCTATTCCTCGCTTTGAAATTGTTGAACTTGTTAATAGAAAAGTTTTACAAAAATGAAATAGACAATAAAACAAATTCCAAATTTGGGCTTCCAGATGCCAAATTGGGTGGAGAGTTACATTATTCAGAATTTGATGGCTCTAGGTACCATTGTATTATCACAATGCGAGAAACATAAATACACTTATGCAAATTTTTCATTATTTAATTTCGTTAAATGTAATACAGGGTTGTAATACTTGGTGGCAACAGTTTGAAAAGTGAATCGATGCAACAAAACGCCGAAACGAAATTAATAGCTCTTCTGGGCTAATAAAGAATGTAGAAGAGCCAACACATTATAACGACCTGCTTAATATGACGATATGGCTGTTAAAAGAGCTCTTACAGTTATTTACAGTTTTCTTACAGCTATCTTTATTATTATTACATTATTATTATTACAGCTTTTTACAGCTGTCTATGGTACTAACATAAGAACAACACGCTCTTTAACCATTTAGTCACAAAATTCAGTCAAGATGAAAAATCTTGTTATCGAGTTAGATTAAAAACATAGTTATTAGATTGAAAAAAAATCGAAAAGGCATTTTTTTAACCTTTTCTGTGTTACCTTTTTTATTTAATATCATGTTCTTTGCGCTTAAACCATAAAATTCAGTTCAACAGCAATATCGCAACATAATTTTAAAATGAGCATATCTTTAGAGTTCCCAATACACGGTTTTGCACGCTGAAGATAAAAATGTCCCCCCCCGTACAGTGTTGGCACTGCTCCTTTTAAATCATCGAGTTTGTTAATCAAAAAACGTTAAAGTTTTAAGACTCAGCCATAACTTGACTACTCAACTAAAGCTCTGTTTCATTGACTCAGTTTTAGCAGGAGCAGCATTTCCTTCTACATAATAAATCTAAATGGAAATTCCAAAAATTCAATTTGGATTGAGATCAGAAATACAAATTAAGGAATGATTTTCCAACTAAACAATTCAGTCAAAGATTCCATTTCAAACAAATAAGAAAGTTAACGAACTTATTTGAGCGATGCAAGAACATAGCATTCAATCACTCTTTTGACTAGATTTTAGAACTACTTTTTATTCTGGTTCAGGATAAATATAGATGAACAAGATTTTGCATGGATTAGCCATGACAAAAGACACCTATATATTGCCTAGGATAATCAAAATTTTGACAACTGCTAGAAATAAACTTCCTAACTTCACCTTTAAGTGATATTGGCAATTAAAAAATCCCAACTGTAGAGACAAAATTTACCCAAAAACAGGAGAAGTGGCAAGTTTTAAACAAATGCATCCCTGTGGATTATTTCATACAACAGCCAAATGAGCTTAAAAAAGGCAAACTACTTTTAATACTTATTGATAACACTTTTGGTTTGGTTTGGTTTTATGTGATTATGATTAAGAAATAATTTAAGAAGATTCTGTTGCAAAGCAGCAGATAAAAAAGCAATTACGTACAAGACCCTGAGAGAAAAAAGATTCTTCAGTAATCCTTGTTAAGGATGCATATTAAAAGAATTTTTTTCCTCTTCTTAACAGCAACGACCATAGATTTTTCACTGGTTTAATAAGATTATACCCCCCCCCTACATTTAACTGCGGGAAACCCATCAAAGTTCTTAATGAAGTGATAATGAAAATTCTTGTGACAAATTTAAAATTGTTTTGACATCGGTGCCTATACTCAACTATCTTTAACTTAAACACAATTTCTTCTTGATGGAAAAACCAGAAGAACTAAAACACGCACAACTCCTTTACAAAAAAATAAAAAAATTAATGCATTACAGTTTATTTCACCCAAATCCCTTGAAAATCTATTTGGAGCTATTCTATCACTACCATGGATCACCCAGCCATTATTAAGAGTTCTGTCATCAACTGAACTGCAGAATATTTCTGGCATTACCTCTATTCATATAAATTCCTACTATGCATAGTTTAATCATAGTTAAGGAATAAAAAATCCAGGACCTTGAGTGTTCACCAGGGGTGAGCACGTGACCCTGATTGCATCACGTAAGAAATGCATTTTATGCTGATGCACGATAAGTATAATATACATATTTCATATTTACACAAAACTGTATTCTATAATCTATTTGATACCCCTCAGATTAAAAAAGTAAATAAAAATTTAACGACACAATTATTTGTTTCCAATTTCCCTGACCCCCAATTCTTTTCTGCACCTGCATATCAACATTGGCAAAAAATACTTGGAAGGGGGCAGGGAATTTCTGTGATGATTCATGCAAAATTAAATTAATTTCAGCGATTACCTACAGCATATACACTGTATACGCCTGTATAAAATATAAGAGTTTACATGAAGGAATAAAAGGAAATCATACAGCAAAAACAACAGAAAATCCAGGATATTGAAAAGTAGACTGCACATCCTTTGCCACATGGCTACTCTGAAGATGATCAAGGACAGCTGGTATTTTTGTGGTTTTTTTTTCAGTCTTGCATATTTTTCACTAGAGATTTTTTTTTTTTTAAAATGTCCCACGACTGGCCGAGTGGATAAGATTACTAAACATAGGAAATTCGACCCAGGTTTTGATACCATGCACACGGGCTGGCTGCATGGTTAGTTTTTGTTGTTTTCACCACATTTAATGTAAAAACGAGCCAGGTTATCTTAGAAAATCCTCTGCAGAAGCATCCCTGTCCTTAGCCAGACAACCCTCATGTGCTTTGTCACTTTAATATAACCAAAGGTCGCCTAATCTTTCTGTTTGAAACTCTATATGAAATTTTAATTGTTCATACCAATCACTGCATGAATATATGAAATTCACCTTTTAGTTTAAGAGTTCTTTTTGTGTTGACACATGTAATCACTTTCTTTCTGGAGACCAAATGCTATTCATAATTGGAAAATTCCTCTCTATTAGAGCTCATGAATTTGGCAGTGAGACTAATTAATTAGATGGGTGCAATCAAAGTTATTTAAGAATCCCAAGAACAAACTTTGATATAATTGCAAATTTCAGATGTCTAGTAACTCTAGTTAAGCAGCAGGCACACTTTACTGAGTTGGCGTACTTTCAAAATACATGAAGGTCTTCTAGCCAGATAGATTTAGTGACTAAATATGACATGCACAAATTCACAATCACAAAATACATTCAAAGAAGAATGCTGATGAACTTTCATGGACTACGCACAAGTATATGTAACCATATTTCAAACACTGAAAAAAACTATGTTAAGTTATTGTAGTCTGATACTGCCTCACTCTGACACAATCAATTGGAGAAAACAGAGCCTATGAAATGTGTAACTTAAACATAGAGTATTCATAAAAGACAATAAAGGAAAATCAGTGATACATCATGAGACATGGCCATATTACTGTAATTTCCAGCTCTGCTATTATCATTTACATGTTTAAACCTTGAATATGTGAATGCTTTCTACTTTATATTATAAGAGACAATGATTACAAGTAAATAAATAAAAATAATGATTTGTATAGCACATAACTAAACAAATATGAATACTGAATTAGACTAGACCAGGGGTCGGCAACCTGCAGCTTGCGAGCCACGTGCGGCTCTTTGGATGTGAAGCTGCGGCTCTTTAGTTCCATACTCAAATATTATTTATATAAAAAAAAAAAAAAAAAAAAAAAGAGAGAAAAACTGAAGAAGAGCATCAAGAATTCAATCGGAATAGGATGCAAGCGTTCGCTTTCACATGCAATTTCATATGCCTTGCAACTTGTCTCATTGGCCTCGAAAAACTCGCACACAATAAATCAAATTTAGAGAGACACTTCACTAGAAAACATATTCAGTTTGCTAGTAAATATCCAGCCGGCAATGAATGAAAAAAGCTGTCAACGAGATCCAAAAACAAAAACAGCTATCAAGATCCATGTTAAGTAACTGCACGCAATCTACAAGTAATGTTAATCTGGCAACCTTCGCGATATCATTAGCAATTGAAAAAAAAGGCAAACCATTTACAGATGGTGAGTATGTCAAAGATTGCTTCATACGAGCATCTGAAGAACTGTTTTTTGATTTCAAAAACAAACCAGAAATCTTGAAAAAAAATCAAAGATTTGCCACTATCCGCTAAAACAGTACATGATAGAAAAGTTAAAATGTCTTCAAATGTAACATATTTACAGGTGGAAGATATTCAGCTTTCTTCTGCTTTATCACTTGCTATAGATGAGTCTTGCGATATAAAAGACATGGCACAAGTTGCCCTTTTATGTGTCTTTCCGAGATCCAAAGGAAGAACTTATAGGATTGATACCGCTCTCTGGACAAAATAGAGGGAAAGATACAGCGAATGCCGTGGAAAAATGCCTTGAAGACAATAAGATTGATTTACATAAAATCGTTTCAGTAGCAACTGATGGAGCCAGAAGTATAACAGGAAAAAATAAAGAGACAACAATGATTTTTCAGAGCAAAATAAACCCCGAAATTACTACATTTCACTGCATAATACACCAAGAAGCGCTTTGTGCCCAAACATTTCCGGCCAAAATAGTTGAGGTTATGAATTTGGTAATCAAGATTGTTATCAGCATCTTGTCAAAAGCACTGTACCATCGTAAGTTTAAAGAATTCTTAAACAAAATGGAGACTCAGTATTCCGACATCCTTCTTCACAATAAAGTGCGATGGCTTTTCCAAATGTTGTAAATTCTGGTGCAGTTGTGTTGAAACATTCTGCTTTGTGCTTGAATGAAATAAATACATTCCTAAATGAAAAAAGGCATTAATCATCCTGAATTAGAGAACGACAAATGGTTGCAAAAATTTTACTTTATGGTGGATGTCACAGCGAAATTAAATGAGCTGAATCTAAAACTGCAAGGAAAGGGAAACCCAGGCTATGTTTTAGAAGAAGTGGTTTGTTTTGAAGAATTCTTTTTACAGAAGATATTCAGAGAGGTAAATTACGTCATTTTCAATTTCTAAAGCAATATGATGATAAAACCATTGCAACTGTTGACACAAATTACTTCAGCACAGTTACAAAAAAATTAAAGATGAATTTGCTGACAGATTTGAGTAATTCAAAACCAACAAAACAACTCTAGCATTCATAGTAAACCTTCTCAACACAAATAGTAACGAAATCCACACTGAGCCATTTGGAATTGATACTGAATCTCTAAAAATGTAATTGATCGATTTAAAAAGTAAAGCTTTGTGGAGTGGAAAATTTACAGAGTTGAAAAGCAAGTTGGAAGAGTTGGAGGTCCAGAAATGAATGTACGTAATGCAACAAATGGGGACAGCTTTAAAAGAAATTCTGCGTGTTGAGGCACTTATATTCGACACACGGAATAGTCTTCCAGATTGGTACAGTGAGGTGAAGAAGTTGGCATTTGGAGTGCTGACTATCTTTGGATCGACATATTCGTGCGAGCAAGCGTTCTCTTGCATGAATATAATTAAAAGTACAGTAAGAAGCCAACTAACAAATAAAAATTTAGAGTCATGTTTGAAACTTAAAACAACCAGTTATGAGCCAAATTTATCCAAACTTTCTAAAACAAATGTCTTCTAAAACTTCTAAAACAAATTAAATGCAAAGCTATCGCTCCCTTTGAATTTATTTGATCAATTGTTTTTTATTGAAGTACAGTGTTGTAAGGAAATGTTTAATTGTTTTAATTTTTTACTTAAATAAAACGTAATTATATAATAATGCCATATATATATTATCTAATTTGTTGTGAAAAACACTATTTATATGCGAATAAATAGATATTTTTCTTATGAATAAATAGATATTTTTTTCTTAAGAATAAATAGATTAGTTTTTGTTTATCAAAAAACTTTATTTATGCAAGTACTATTTATTGTTGTCAAGAAAAAATGTGGTGGCTCTTTAGAAACTTTGAAATTTTGTAAATTGTAATTTTTGGCTCTTCCAACTCAAAAGGTTGCCGACCCTTGGACTAGACTAAGCCTGAAATATCTTCCTTACCAACAAATATGGTATTTCATGTGGCAGTCAAAATTGTATAGCTTAAGATAATAAAACCAACAAGACATAATAAAAATGAAAATTTAATCTGAATGACATCCAAAAGTTTTATTTCCATGAAACTTTAAAAATTCACATTTTTTAAATTGCTAATTTAATACAGAGAATATTACAACTGAAAAAACAAATGTAATCATCAGTCATTATCAATTGCATAAGATATTCAAATGTTTACTCACTTTAAGAGATGTAATGCTATATGTTAACTTTGCAGTTTTTAGAAGACACTGGATAGCTTGTCGCAGTTTTTTTATGCTAGGCATCAATTCAGCTGTCCAATTCAAATTCTTGGTCAAAGATTCAGTTGCATCTGACTCTGTTTTATTTCCACAGATAAATGATTGTACCTTACTTGCCATGCACATAATACTCGCTTTAATATTCAAATGAGTTAAATCCTATAAAGGACAGGAAATTATGCAAGATACAGTTTTAAAACAATACACTTTAACTTCAAGAAACAGCTGCCTAATTTTTTTTCCCAAAAATTTAACAAGCTATTAAGCTCCTAAATTGCAATCACATATTAAACAAAGAATTCAAAACTATGCATATTAAAAAATTTCAGTAACAATGCGTATCTTATGTCCTTAAAAAAGGCAAACTACTTTTAATACTTATTGATAACAATTTTGGTTTGGTTTGGTTTTATGTGATTATGACAAAGCCTCGAAGGCTATCTTCCTAAGGGAATGGATGCCTTTGTGAAAGGCTTTCTAAGGAAAACACCAGCTTGTATACATGTTTACGCATGGAGAAAACCATGAAAATGCCCATGTAGCCAGTCCATTCACGGAATCTGAATCTTGGACTGAACTACCACTGTTGAGCAACTTTACCATTTGGCCACTGGTGGGGCTGATAATAAATTTGAAATTTATATTTTATTCAACTTATTTTTATCATATTCTGATATGAACAGAAAAGATTCAACGTTTATTCTTTTAATAAATAACTTTTAGTTAATAAACTGTAATAAAGAACTTTTAATAAATAACTTTCAGTTTAACTTTTTAATAAACAGTAAAATATTAAATTAATACAACTAAAAACAGAGGATTTCATTATGCTGATATAACTGTTAAAATAATTTTTCATTTTTTAAACTGAATTCACAGTGGTAAAAAATATAAATGGCATAAACATACCATATTTTAAACATCAACCTAATAAATTTATGACCATTGCACAAAATTAAAACAGAAACAGAATACAGTCATTATGCTGGATTTTTTCTGTGTTCTCAGCATTCATGGGTGAGTTTTAAATTTTTAAAACTAAGAAAAAGCTTGAAAACTATTTTCTACAAAATATTAGTTATTTTATATAATGTATTGATATAAAGCAAATGGGTCATAAAACTATCCCTACAACATAAATGCACTTACCAGAGGTTCAATTTCTTCTAAATTGTTAAGTGAACTAAGGCAGTTTTCAGAATCTTTAGAAGGAAGAGTTGTAGATACAATTTTACCAGTGTCTGACTCAAAACTGTCAGTCTTTTCACTAGTATTTTTAAGTCTAAGTGAAGAAACTTCATCCTCATCCAGTAGCTGCTCTTGTTCATTAACTTTTTTAACAGGTATGTTCACTAACGAATCTTCTTTATTCTCACATATTTGATCTTTGACAGATGTCGTTTCAGAAGGTATATTAGTACTTGGAACAGTTCCAGGACATAGCCCACTTTGTCCTGAACTAGATCTTAAAGAATCCCAAATGACTAGCACTTCTTCAACCATATTCGGTGCACAAACACGAGTAAGTTGGTCACCCTTAATAGGAAAAAAAAAAAAAAAAAAAACAGTTAGATATTTGCAAAATGGGTTCACAATATATAAAACAAATTTAAAGAAATTAGTTACTTTCATAAATTAAATAGAAAACTGTAAAAAACAGACAATCAAATAATAAACACAACTCCCCAAATAAAATTTAAAAGTCACATAAAAACTTCTATTGGGTCAGTCCCTAAATTCGTGCGCATTTTTTGGTAAATTTTTAAAATAATATAAAAAAAAACAAAATTTAACAATTTAATCAATTATACAAGGGTTGGAACTTTAATAGTGGCGACACAGCTGAAAAAATGCTATGCAACAAAACCAAAGAATATCGCGTATACCACACGTAAACTACATACCTACCTTACCTCTCAGCAAAAAGACTCGTCCTGCCTATGTCACGGGCATGCGGAGTGATGCGAAGAACAGATCCTTGTATTAGCTCGCGGTCTAAAGTAAGTGTTGTCAGGATGTTTTCAAAACAAGAACAACGATGTTGGATAAAAATTGAATGTGCCAGAGGTCGTACAGCACGACTGTGTCATCAAGGGCTTCAAGACGCTTGCAGGGAATCTGCATTGCCTTACAGAACCGTAGCAAGATGGGTGAAAGCATTCAATGAAGGATGCCAAAACGTGGCAGACATGCTGTGGCCAGGTCGTCCGAGTGTCATCGATGCAGACGTGCAAGCTGTTGCAGCACTAATGGACAGTGATCACTGCCAAACGATTCATCAGCTGGCCGGACAAACAGGATTACCGCATACGACTGTGCTGCACATTCTGAAGGAATGCCTGTCCATGAGAAAAATTGCTTCATGATGGGTTCCACATCAATTGATGGAAATGCAGAAATGGCTACGATACGATGCTGCCCGAACCCACCTGGAGGGCTATAAGCATGAAGGAGATGCTTTTTTACGCCGTATCATTACGCTGGATGAGAGTTCAGCCAGAACTGAAACGCCAATCAAACGAATGACGTCATCACGGGTCACCACAACGTTCGAAATTTCGTCAGAACCCCAGCAATGTGAAAGTTATGGTGATTCTCGTGTACGACTGTGATGGTGTCATCCTAACGCATACCATTCCCCCACAGCAGACCGTCACTGTGCAGTATTACTACTCATTTTTGGAGCACAATCTCCAACCAGCTTTGAGAAAAAAACAGCGACACTTTCTGCAGAACGCTCCTCTCATTTTGCATGACAATGCTCGGTTGCATGCAGTGCAAGCTGTGACTGATTTGTTCAAGCGATGGGGCTGGGAAGTGCTTTACCATCCACCATACTCCCCAGATCTAAGCCCTTGTGACTATGACTTAATTCCTAAGATGAAGGAACCACTTCGTGGCACTCGATTCCAAACTGTTCCTGAGATTCTTGCGGCAGTAGACCGGTCCATTCAAACTATCAACAAAACAGGCACTGCTACAGGTATTCTGCGACTTCCACATCGTTGGAAACAGGTTGTACACAATGCTGGCGACTATATTGAAGGACTGTAAAACATGGTGACATGAATCACTTTTGTATTCCTTGTAAATAAATAGTTGCCACTATTAAAGTTCCAACCCTCGTATATTTTCCTCCATTATCTACAATGTCTCGACATCTTACAGGCAGCTTTTTTATGCCATTGCTGTACTAAGACTCTGGTTTTGATACAAAAAAAAAACTTGAAAGTTCATTGTGTACATTCTGTTTAGAATTTCATTTTTTTTCCCAGTAAAAATTTTGTAAGGCATGAAATAAGTGGAAATCACTTGGGGCAATATCTGGGGAGTAAGCAGGATGTGGCAAAAGCTCCCAATTAAATACACTAATTTTCTGCAGCGTTTTTCGAGCCGTATGCGGTCTAGCATTATCATGGTGAATCAACACTTTCTTGATATTCACCAATCATTGGTGTTTTTTGATCAATTCTGAGTTTAGACGGAAAAGTTGTTCACTATAAACTTTGTTTGATCGTTCGTTTGATTTGGTTTGCTTGATTCCGTTCTAACAGTTCAAAACGTCCTAAACAGGGTTCATCATCAATGCTGCTTTTTCCAACTTAAAATTTTTTAAACCATTTCTGGGCAGTCCTTACACTAATAGTGTGTTCACCATGTACACTATTAATTTTTATCGCTGCAAACCTGGCAGATTCACCACACGAAAATAGAAAATTTAGCACAGCACGTTTGTACTGATTATCTATATTCATCTTCTATAGGTACTAAAACGCATTCGATATTTACGAAAGTTGGTGATGAACTGAATAATACGTTAGTCAAACGATGACAAGTTTCAACAGGTTCAAAATTGTATAGTTTTAGTAAATGTGGCATAGTGAATTCCAAGCATACTCTTAATGCGCACACATTGATATACTGAGACGATATAATGCTATAAAAAACTTATTATCTAAATGTATTAACTAATCTATCTATTCCCCCCTCCAGCTCAGATGCAAGAAAAGTCAACAAAAAGCAGAAATTTTTCAATTGTTGCTTTATCTGCTTAAAGAATGTTACAGAAGAAACTTTAATCAGTGTTCTCAAGCACCATAAATTTATTTAATTTCTGCTTCATTCATCGAGCTAAATTTGCTTCAAAGTTGCAACTGGACAAATATTCGAGATATATCTAGGTATTTATTATATCTAGATACAGTCAAAAGTCGTTAATTCGGACACTCATAATCCGGAATGATCTATAATCTGGACCTCAAAGCTAAAAACTTTCTGCGCATGCGCAGCGTTGACGCATGCGCAGCGTTGACACATGCGCATAGGCGTTTACGCGTGCGCGTAAGACCTTTTGATGCTAAAGCAAAGTTTAAAGTTTAAAGAAATTAAACATTTAGCAGTAGTAGCAATGAAAGCTCCCTGAGATATGTTGTGCAGACATTGAAGACAATAAAAGATTTTGAACTTAACCAATTTATTAACAATATAATAAAGAATAAAAACACAGAAAATAAATGTCAATAATATTAGAGTCTTAGGAAAAATATTATATAACCATCATTCATCAAATATTTTTACCTGGTCTCCAAAACACTGGCATTCTATACAAACAAAAATGCCCTAAACAGTAATTATGCAGCCTAAAAATAAAGCTGGCTACACTTTTAATCAGTCCATAATCAATGGTCAAGAAAACACCTGAAAATTTAAATGAAGTTCTTGAAAGCACTTAAAACAGGCCTAACGCCGTTTGCACAAGGAGTCGCCGCTCACGTATTTTAATTGCCGCCTTTATTGAAGAACATGGATGCCGCCCACGGCAGTCACTCACATGGTAGCCTCTGGAACCAAAGAACTTTATTCTGGAACCATCATCTCGCAAACCGAATCAAGGCATTTTTATTCACCGGACTGCATGCATCCTTTTGAAGGGGCTGGAAACCGCTCACTCACTTGCCGGGAAACCAGGAACTAGAAGGGTTGAGCTAGAGCGACGCGAGATACTTATAGCAGAAGTAGGAATGACGTCATCTCACGACAACCAATCAGCTATCGGCACGAATCGGCTTTTCAGATGACGTAACATCATGTTTCGTTTTTGCATCTCAATTAGGTTGAAACAGTCCGTTCTCAATGCAAACAGTGGCAGCAAGAAAAAGAAGTAGAAGTAACTACTATATTACATTAAAATAAGGACTAAACTAAATAAACATTTCAAGGAGGAGAGATGATGCAGTAAAAGGTTTAAAAATAAGCTATATTTTCCAACACCTTTTACCACTGCGCATATATGCGTGTGTGCAAGCGCAGAATACGTTTTCGCATGCTCGTTTTATGTATAACGGCCGGCATAATCTAAAATTATCTATTTCAGTTAATGTTGATGATTGCGTTGTCCCTTAATCTTCAAATTGGATCTGGCTTATTATTTTTTGCAGACTGTAAGAGCAATTTTATAAAAGTAAACTTGAACTTTCGATTATGTCAAACAGAATTTCCGATTCTGGAGGTCCCAAAGGATCGTACAAAAGAAAGTATGTTTCGATGTCCATCAAACAAAAAGTGGAATTGCTGCAAAAAAATGGATAAAGACACAAAGAATGTGACAGAGAGGTTAGTGGAAACGAAAAAATTTCGATTGACAAATTAGTCGGTATTCTCGGCACAACAATTAACGGGACTTGAACAGCGGAACTTTGTAACTGAACAAGAAATTGTGTCTGTTATAGAATTAAAGAGAAAGTATTATCACATAAAACGAAGCAGCTTAAAACAACTTATATTGAAAGAAATGTTTAATAAAGTAAACAAATAAATATTAAGCTTTTTTTTTTTTGTAAATTTTGATACCCTTTAGATTATAATTGTTCTTTATTTCATAAATTAAGGTTTCATATTTTTAATTTTAGAATTTCTGCATGCCATCTTACGAGATTTAAACTGATGATCTATAATCCAGAAAAATCGATAATCCGGAATCGCCGAAGTCCCGACGAGTCCGGATTAACAACTTTTGACTGTAATACATTTATGGCAACCTCAAAACTATGTCTCTGCTTTGAACTTATCCAGAATCTAGAAATTTCCTTAGGTATTTTTCATAAAAAAATTACGAAAAATTAAGTTAAATCATAAAATGTAACTAGAAATTAACACTGTAAATAGACGCTCTTCAGTAGAAACATACAATTTACAGTTTTGTACAGATAACACATTTCAAAATTAATATTTGTTTTATAATCAAATTTCTTTCTTTAAAGAAACAATATGAAACATTCAAAAATAGATTATCTACTTTGCTTGAAGAAAAAAAAACAAACAAACAAACAAACAAAAAACATACAATTGTATGACAAGGTGCATAACGTATGTTGTTAGGAACATCATTTATTAATTATATTGTTTAGTCAAAAACAGCAATACATACATTAAATTTACAGTTCATATGCATAACAGTAATGGAGTTTAAGAAAATATATGCAAAAACAATAGCTACCAGTTTTATTTTATAGAAATGAATGCTTATATAAGAGTTG